CAGTGGGTTGTTGCCAAGACAATAAACCATGGATCACACTGTGACTGTTTTTCTACAAGTTAAGCACAGAAAGAGAAATGGGGTCCAACTGAGCCAATGTTCAGACAGAGGATGTTCTTAATAATTTTAGATACATGCTGAAGTCCAAAAATAGATTTTTCCCCCAAATCCAAGCTCATATGCACGAGCTTTTCTTGGGAGTATTTTTGTAGAACTAGAAGTCTCTCTTATAACCCCCGGAACATGACAATGAACAAAGGAGAAAGGAGGAATAACTTTACCACTTTCTTTTTAACAGAGGAGACTACTGAGAACTCCTTGGTCCCAGCAGGAAGCCAGTTCTCCTTCCCCTCCCCGCCCCACCTCTGAACTCTGTTTCCCAGAGTGGGTGGCTTCTCTTGTGGCCCACCTCAGACTCCAAGAGACATCAGCACTCACACCAACATGGCTCATTATGGTGGACAAAGCACATTTGTTGGCTTGATCTTCATAAGTCCTGTGAAACCAATGTTAAAATCTCAATTTCATAGATGGGGATTTAAAGGACACACCCAAGGTCACAGAGCTGCTAGGTTCTAGAGTGGGCCCCAAATCTTCAGACTCCTCGTCCACATTACTCTTTGGAGCATACAATGCATCCAAATGTGTTTGAGGGTAGAGAAGGAACCAGGAGTCACAGTGGTCATTTTTAATCTCCATCTAAAACCCAGCTAAACTGGGGCGCCTGGGTGGCTCAGTCAGTTAAACAGCCAACTCTTGATGTCAGCTCAGGTCATGATCTCAGGGTCATGAGATCAAGCCCCACATCGGGCTCCATTCTCCATGTGGAGTCTGCTTGAGATTCTCTCCCTCTCCCTCTGCCCCTCCCCTCTCTTGTGCGCTCACTCTCTCTCTAAAATAAATAAATAAAATATTTTCTTAAAAAAATATTTAAAATCCAGCTAAAATAATAAGGAATGTTTTACCCAGGAAAGAAAAGATTTATTTTGGGGTTGTAACAGTTTGCATTATTGGCTCAAATTCTCTCTCCTTCCCTGTCTTCACACCCTTCGACACACAGCTTCGCAGTTCCTCACAGGAAAGGAGCAGGATATACTTTCCCACCCTGAACTCTCTGACATACTGCGGCCAATGTTATGAGGTGAAAGTTGACAGTGTCCTGCTTCAAAGACTAGATTCACAAGCCTAGAATGCCACTTGCTCTCTGGTCGCTGGGAAGAGCATGCCTGGGCTAGCCTGCTGGTCCCGGGGGGAGCGTGGGAGATTCGGGGAGCAGAGCCACCCCCGCTGAGATGTCCAACCAAGAGCAGTTGAGAGCAGAGCCCCCAGCCAACCTTGGCAAAGACTCCCTCACAGTTAAATGGGTGCAGGCTGCCTGTGGGCAGTATGGACAGTAGCTCACTCTCTGGAAGGACATGGGGGGCAGTGTGCACTCAGGGATGCTGTCAGGGAATGCCTCCACTGGGGAAGAGGTTGGACCATACCAATAGTTCCAGACTTTGGGATTTTAGGTATGAAGCAAAGTTATTCTCAAGAGTTTAGAAACCAACATGGGGCTGCTAGCTTTTTGCTTTTCTGAGCAAAGGTAATATATAAAAATAACTACCACTTACTATCACCACCCATTCATAAAAGATAGAACATTTTCACACTACAATAGAGGAAAGGAGATCATCTTAGAATACGACACAGTCCTTTCCAAGCAAAGACGGTGGGCCACCCTCCATCCATGAGCCTTTTTCTTTTCATTCTGTCACAGATCAATAAAAACTTTGTCACTACATAGCTCCAGTCTGTGTATTAGCAACTTTCCCGCATGCTTTATGATAGAACTGTCAAGAGAACATGAAATCAGTTACATAAATTATGAGACTTAAATCATGGTTCTGTTTGTTCTGTGACAATATAAAAATTACATTTTTTTCATCAGGATAGAAAATAAAGCTAGAGATGAACTGGAGCACCTCTGTCGTGCCTTCTCCACTGGCTGCGGCAAGCATTGCAGATCCCCCGGGGGCCCCCGCCCCGCCCCCTCCTCCACAGAACTTCGGAGCTGCACTACGCAGGCGCCTAAGATGCTCCTGATGTCCTTCTGTGCTTCTAATGGATGAATGAAAAGGAAAGCAGCAATTCTCAGGGCTACATAACTGGGACCGAAGTGAGAAGCAGGGAATCCCCTGGGACCAGCTTGGGGGATGTGTGCCTCAGTCACCCGTGAATGTTGACTTTTTTCTTTCTGGGCCATAAGGAGCCTCTCCATCCTACATATCCTACAGATACAGATACCTGGAGAAGGGGGCAGGCTACAAGTGGACGGCTCCCGCTTAACCTCACTCATCAGGCCCTCAGGAGACCCACACACCTACCAGACCTACCAGGGCCCAGTGTGGAGAAGCAATGACTATTCTCTGGGACTGGGAAGACTGGATCTGATCTGGCACTTGATTCCCACCTTCACCCATTCTTTAGGCATTCAGAGAAAATGAACAAGGACCTTAGTTTCACAGGCTTACGTTCAGGTAGGAGAACAGACAAAAGCAAATAACAAGATAAATATCAATTGGGTGAGCACTCTTAAAAAGATGAGCATAGTGAGTTGAGAGAAACTGGCAAAGGCTTCTTTAGGTAAGGATTCAGGAAAGGCCTCTCTGAGAAGGGGATATTTGAGATGAGAAATAAGAATGCATCGTCCGGGCGCCTGGGTGGCTCAGTTGGTTAAGCGACTGCCTTCGGCTCAGGTCATGGTCCTGGAGTCCAGGGATCAAGTCCCGCATCCAGCTCCCTGCTCGGCGAGGAGCCTGCTTCTCCCTCTAACCCTGCCCCCTCTCATGTACTCTCTCTCATTCTCTCTCTCTCAAATAAATAAATAAAATCTTTAAAAAAAAAAAAAAAAGAATGCATCATCCATGCAAAAAGCTAGGAAAAGAGCAATACCAACCAGATTAAAAGCAAGTGCAAAGGGCCCGGGGCAGAAAAGAAAATGGCTTGTTTGAGGAGGAGGGAAAAAGCCAGAGTTGTGGAAGCAAGGTGGACAAAGGGAGAATTGTGGTATGAGGCTGGAGCAGGAAGCAGGACCCATCATTGGGGGCCCTGCAGGCCCCAGCATGGCGTTTGAAATTCATTGCAAATATAAAGGTATTAAGCAAGGGAGTGACAGGATCTGATTTATATTTAAAATATTCGCAGGATGCTGCGTGAAGGGTTAATTGTAGAGGGGCCAGAGTGAAACAGGCAGACCAGTGAAGACATTCCTGCATGAACTGGGTGGTGCCTCTGTGCCCTTTATGACCTTGGACAGTCCCTGAAAAATGCTACATTTCAGCCATCCCACCTGTAGTATGGCTACCACCTACACTCAATAGTTCATAAACTCTTTGGGCTCCTGAAGATGGGATGAAGGTGCACATGGCCTTGCTCGCCCCTGCATGATTTCACTCCAGCTGCCTTTCCTAGAGCTGGAGCCACGCCCACAGCTTGCCTGTGAGGGCCTCCCCATTAGCCCTTAAGAACACACGGTCTCTCGTGCCCATCATGGCACTGAGGGTCATGCTCTCCATCCGGATGGAACTGAGAACACGTGGAGGCTGCTCAGGAAGCAGGTGTGTAGTTCGCATTGCAAGGGGAGACACAGGCCAAGGTGGAGGCTGGCCAAGCTCCCCGGAGGCAGGAAGAAGTGAAGCAAAGGCAGGTCAGGGTCTGATGGATGCTAACTGCAGCCGAAGAGACCCATTCTGACCAGGGGAGTCCACAGACAAACCTGGGCTCAGTGCTGATAAGGGAGGGAAGACTCCGGGAGCAAGGCCAGCATGCAACTTATCCAGAGAAACCTGGCAGTCTGGCCAGGCTGCTGGAGAATAAGAAACCATACGGAGCAGAGAAGAGATGTCTCGGGCAAGTCTGTCCTGGATAAGTCAGCACCCAGCAGACCAGCCCGCTATCTGGGGACACATGAGCAAGCTCAGCTCAGATCATCTGAGCCTGGCCCATCCCAGAAGAACTGCCTAGTCGATTCGGAAATTTACGAATAAACAATAAATGCTTATTTGTTTTCAGCTCCTGAGTTTTGGGGTGATTTGTTATGTCACAATAGCTAACTGATACAGAAGAGGTTGATGGCCAGTAACGACTCCTAGCTCACTGTAGCAAGTCTCTGCTGAAATTACAATCCGGTTTCCCAGTTTGAGGCCTCTCCAGGTTCAGATCACCGGACTGGGATCATGAGCTTGAGATATATTCTTGAACTTGACTTTACAAGGCTATCGGTGATATGATGAAAACTTTCTCCCCACTCTGGACCTGTTTCCTTATCTGAAAAATGAGGAGTTAGACACTTCCAGGGAGTCTTCTGCTTGGGTGACTCTGACCTCTTCATTCAGCCATTCTGTCATCTAATCAACAGGTATTTGTTCAGAACCTGCTGTGCGCCAGTCTAAGGCCAGGACCTGGGATGCAGGCTCAGACCACAAGATGCAGGCCCTGTCCACCAAGTGCAAGGAGAGCTCCCTGTCTTGTGAGTATAGAGAAGACGCCTCTGGATGGCCAAGGAGGCTGTGAGTGGCGGCAGTGGGCAAGATCATGGTCATCCTTCCCCAGCAGACAGAGGGGAACGAATGCACATGCAGAATCCCTGGCGCCTCCAGTCTCCTGGACTCCTGCTCGGAGATGTTTGCCTTGGTCCCTAAAGCCTTGATGAACGCCACTCAGCATTTCAGCTCATGCCCTGGGGAAATCAAACTCTGCCTTGAGCTCAGCACATTCAATGAGCAAACAGAGGGCAGCCATGGGAACTGTCTCACGCCACTGTCGCCCAGGTGACCCAGGAGAGCCGATCCTTAACACTGGGAGACTGGCCAGTCTCTGTGGGGGCGGCGCAAAAGTAGCCAAGTCCAAAGTCCTCCACTGCCCCTGATGACAGCAGTCCCTCAGGACCTCCTCCCAACCCCGGAGAGAGGCAGACAGGTGGAAACTGTCTGCCCCAGGGGCTGGGAAAGCCATCCTACCGTGGAACCAGGGGGCGATGGACTCGGTGTTCCTCTCAAAGCCAGCTCTGCGAGGCAGCTGCTCCTCCTTAAACCAGCGGACTATGACTTCTCTGGAGACAGGTCTCAGTGGGCGCTCCCAGGTCCTGCTGAGAAGAGAGATGAAGTGTGGAGAGTCGGGGAGGGAGGG